GTGTCTAATGAGACTTTCATTTTCAGAACCTTACACAAAAGCCTCTAATAGAAAGGGAAAGTAATATTTCAAAGGTCATCTTAATACCCCTTAATGTCAACAATCTGTAATCAAGCCAATATATATGGATGGTGATTACAGTCCAGTTGTGATCCTTTAAATACGAAATAATCTCCTAAATTAGCAAAATGGTGTAAGCTAAGGTTCTCTGGGTTTGAGGCAATTTATCCTTTTTAAAGTTTGTTACTTGCAAACAGCCTCGGAGTTAGAGATCATTCTCAGAGTGAGGCTTCACGCAATGCAGTATTTCCAAACCCCTCGAGATTTAAGGTTCTGTCACTTCCAGTTTCATGCATTGTTCTTGTGTGTTCTGTAAAGTCGCCGAAATGTGCAAATGGAAAGTTATGGCTCCCCTTCTGTGCTTTTTCTCAGCAGGGGAGTGTACTGGGCACTAGAAGTGTGGGCTGCGTTGCTGGTCAGGAGGCCGCTGAGGGGGCTTATAGGCAGTACCTCTTGCAGAACCATCTGTCTGCCGGGCAGCCGATTACGAAGTCAGGAGTTGTGTGGACTCTCTAGTGCAAGACTGGCATTCTGAAACGTCACGCCATTCGCAGCGTGAATAGAGATGCTGTGCCCTTACCCCCCGCCCTCACCGGGAGATGTTCCTTTTCCGGCCAGCGCGGCTACTAGTTCACGTAGCTCTTGCCGCAGTTAGAAGTGGGTGAATCCCGCCGGGCACTTTACTTCTGCCAGGAGGTTTTCCGAAGTAAATCAGCAGTGGTTGCACTATGAATGGCATTCATGGATATAACATCAGAATCTCCTGGAGGGCTTGTTGACACCCAGATTGCTGGGTCCCCACCCCCAGGGTTCTGTTCTGTACTTCTGGGTGGAGCGGGGGGGCTGTATGTCCGACAGAGGCCCAGGGCCCTGGGATGCTGCTCGTTCCTGCAGCACCTCTCTGAGGAGCCCTGCTCAGCTGCATCACTGTGGATGCTGCCCAGCCATACACCTGACCTTGCATCCATCTTCCCATGAGTAAAGCTTGAGTTTCATTCATCTTGTTCCTCCCAGTGCCTAACACACATAATAGCCATGTGCAGAGGGCTTGCCCAATACTTGCTGGGGACAAAAAAAAAAGAATGTTGTTTACATGAAATTACTAGTCTGTAATCAGATACCTGCGTCCCCCCCCCCCCGCAACTCCCTCCCACATTATCATCCTGTATTTGTCTTTCTTCGGCATTCTGTGTTTCCTCCTTCTGCTGCCCCCTTGGATTCTGAGAGTTTGTTTTTCTCTTGTCTTTTTCCATATGACCTGTGTTTGAACCACAGGCAACCTCGGGCCTGGTGGTCTAGTTCTACTAGCCCTTGGTGCCTGGGTCTACAGCAAGTCGGGGAAGGAGGGGACCTGAGAGGGGCCTGTTGGTCAAGTTTTGTATAAGGCCAGGTTGGTGACAGTGGCACAAAGCAGTCGGGTGACACTTGGGACTTAAGATCTCAGGATGGACCTTGCACAATAGGAACCTTGATGAGAAAGCCTTTGGCTAAACCCAAGGAAATGCTCTTTCTGTGGTTCTTGCTTTCCTAGGTTTCAGATGTTTATTCGCAAGGCGAAACTCACTCATTAAAGGTTTGGAAAACATGAAAAAAAACCCCAGTAATACGGAAAAAGGCATCCATTTGCCCAGACACCCAAAGTATCCAGTTTGGGAGTATGTTGTAACAGTCTTTTATATTTCTATCTCAATGTTAGTTTATTTTTAATGCATTTGCATTTAGCTGAATTTATAAATCTAGGAGTAAAATTGCCCCGAGGGAAAGGAAATTCTTGTGTTGAATTACAGGGTTATTCCCATAATGAATGATAATGATTCATTACACAATTGTTTGCTTTCAAGTTTCATCCAGACCCCATTAGAAAAATGAATAGCCCCTCCTTCCTCTTCTTGCAGAACTGTCGGTGTGGCGAGTTCAGTCAGGTGTGGTGCTCTCCCGATTGCCCTGAGGTGTTGGGTGCAAGGCCCCCCATGGAGCCCTGTGTCAGTTCCTCAGTGTCTGACTTTCCTGGTTTGGGGTTCATGGTTTCAAGTGAATTTCTCCATCAAGAGTGTGTGGGTGGTATATATTATGAGCCCCTGAGTCCGAGAAATTGCCTTTCTCTTGCCTTTATTCGTACAACCCGGTGGGTCAAACCCCTTCACTCTTGGTCTCTTCCCCTGACAATCCTCCACTGCAAGCACTGCAGACCCTGGAACCTTCCAGACTTTCCTGCTGCAGAGGAGACCTGTGACATCAGCTGGATTTTCGTGATTTTTACAGATAATCTTTTGATTGTCATTTTCAGTCTGGGTGCTCATGTTTTCCTCCCATCTTTGCTCTTTCAAAACGGTCAGGATGTCCTGAGATGTAGTTCACTTTTCACTCATTTCCATGGGATGCAGCAAGCCTTTTGGTCTTTGATCACTCTTTCTGCTAATAGTAATAATAGTAATTAATTGACTCTAACTGGACATTTTACTGAACATTTACACAGGCATTGAACAGGAGAGAACATGGAAATGCCAGTCTAACATCCAATTAATGTCTGATCAAGTGGATGGTTTGAATTAGTTCGAGGACGTGTGTGAGATCCCTCTAGTTCCTCTGTGGGAGATCTGGGGGTCTTGTTTGTCTGGTGCTCACAGAAACCTCATTCGTCTATTCTAAAGTGGCTCCCCACCCCCACATTGGTGCCTAGACAATGCAGCCTTCCCTCTGACTGGGATCTGGGATGACTTGTACGAGGGAGTGGAGGCTGGGACCTCCCTAGGTCTGGGTCTGCACCCTGGAGCTGGCCCTGGCACGACATCCATCCTACAAAAGAGCCTTGCTGGGAACCAGACTATGGACTTGAGATGTCCGAAACCACAAGTTCATTTCAGACCTAAGTGTGATCAACCAGGAGACTCTAAGTCAAATCAACTGAGCTCCAGCAGTTTGCTCCAAGTGGCCCTTCAGAGAGAACCTTAAAACCAGAGGTTTGGTCGGCAGAGGCCTCTTAGCCATGAATTGGGGGTTGACTGTGAGCCCCTTTCTTCTCAAATTTGAGACCCCCTTGGAAACCTGCAGAAATAAGCCACTTAACCCCTCTTTCCCTTGAGCAGTGTATCATTATATGCCTTTTACTCTGTTGAAAAAGTTGTGGCTTTGTCAGCAATCATCTTCTGTTCAGGCTAAATTTATTTTTATGTGAAATAGAAATCAGGAAAACACCAAAATTATTTTAAGCAAAATATCAAAATTGAAATAAACCAACATATGTCTGTGAAACATGTATAACTCTCAATCAAAAATAAGTGCAACTTTCATAAATTTCTTGAAATAGTCTAGCATGCAAAATCTGGATGACTTAAATAGATGGAGTTATGACATGGTTGGTTATTCTTTCTCCTTGGTCCATCCGTTCCTTAAACCTGGCCAGTTCTGGACCATCCCTTCATGAACGGTATACTCTGTCCTCCATCATCTATTGTAATAAGCAGAGAACCGAGGGATTTTATAAAATGTCTTGTAGTAAGGTTGAATAATACTGCCGATTTCTAATGGAAACCATCTTGAATTTACCTTCTTTACTTCTGTTCTACCCCCTGCCCCCCACATTCCTCTCTAAGAAGTGAGGTGTTTTTTTTTTTTTTAATTGTTATAAACACTGTTTCCATATTCCTAAATTTCCTTTGCAGTGGGAACTCAAATGGGATGAAAATTGTCAAAGTGACAAACAGTATTCTGGGGCTTACTACCAAAGAGAGTCACAGGATAAATGCCCAGCTCACATTTATGCCTCATTTACAGGCTTTCTGTAACACATTTTCTTTATTAGATTGTCACTTTTCAGGATTGGAATCACCATGAGCCTCTAATATAGTTGCTGATATTTTTCCCACAGAAGACATGTAGTAAATAGTCCCATCGATAAATATTATTGACAAACCAATAAAGCCCTTTCTTGAAACCTTCAGCCTCTCATTTTCAATTCCTCTCTTCATGAACGAGGTAACATTTCTTGGAAAAACAAAAATAGGTAAAACTGTCACTTCATTTGGAAAACGTTCTCAGCACTACATGAATTATGTTCCAGTTCCTTTTTTAAAAGCACATTACAAACTTTTATCTTATTAGGCTTGGCATCACTGTGTATGCCAACAGAGTCACTCTTTGGGGAGTTGAGAGACTCCTTGAGATAGTTCAGAAAGTTTATGGTTGTGACGGCCTCACGGACACATGCCTTTTGCATCCTGGACTCTTGGATCTTCAGAAGCTCACTTTTATTCTCGTACATCACTTTGATTTTTTTTTTTTTTTAGTTTATTAGTTGTAAAAAGTTCCTTCCTGGTTCCTTCCATTTAGTCCAATTTGGAAATGGAAAAGTGTGTTAATTTTTAATAACTCTTTAAGACACGCATTACTGTATTTTTATTAACTGAGCCAGATGGTTCACAGCAAATTTTCTCTGACATAAGTAATCACAGAAATCAGTTTGGGACCTAGATCTGGTATGGAAAGTGGCATGTATATTAGTGGAAAAACGCAGTTCACATCATTATGTGGGTATTTTTAGAAGTCATATTTGTTACTGTTTGGATTTCATCTTATTTTTTTTGTTTTGTCTTTTTTGTTTTAGGCTAAATACATACTAAGGACATTTTCTTCCCACCGTCCCCCAGACCCAAACATTCAAGCTCCTTCTCTTTTTTTTTTTTTTAAATGAGGGGAGGAGTTAGTGACTTTTTTTTTTTTTTTAATTTATTTATTAGAGAGAGAGCGAGAGAGAGAGTGCAAGAGGGGGTAGGGTCAGAGGGAGAAGCAGACCCCCCGCCAAGCAGGGAGCCCGATGCGGGACTCGATTCCGGGACTCCGGGATCATGACCTGAGCCGAAGGCAGTCGCTTATCCAGCTGAGCCACCCAGGCGCCCTCAAGCTCCTTCTCAACAACCAAAACTCGTTTTCTGTTTCTGCAGTTTGAAGGTTGCAAGAAGGCCTTTTCCAGGCTTGAGAATCTCAAGATTCACTTGCGGAGCCACACAGGCGAGAAGCCATATCTGTGCCAGCATCCAGGCTGTCAGAAGGCGTTCAGCAACTCCAGCGACCGTGCCAAGCACCAGAGGACACATCTGGACACTGTAAGAGGGCAGGAGCTTCCGACTTCCAGTCCCAAGCCCCGGGGTGAGGGAGTGCCCGTTTGAGAGTGGGCTGGTGAAGGGGTTTGCTTCATGGTCTGCAGGTTATAGGGACAGTGCCAAGGGCAGCAGTGGAAGCTTGGTGAAGGTCCACAAGGGGCCCTGTTTGGCTCTTTCCTTATTTTTCTGCCGTGACAAGTTATCCGAAGTATTACAACTGCCCGAGACAGAGGGGTTCCTTGATTGCCTCTGTACAAAGCAGAGTGGGTCACGGGCTGTCACATAGTAGATTGGAGGACAGAGAATGACTACCAGGGACTGGGCATTAAAAAATAAGTATTTAAATATCAAGGTATGCGAAAATAGATAATATATACTATTGCTAGAAATCGGAAGTGGTTTTTCTTTCCCGCCCCCCCACCTTACCCTGGTTCTTTTTTTTGACATAAGAACTTTGGGGCTGGCGTGGTTACCGAGTGTGAATCTGGCCTTTTGCTTTAGAAACCACCTGGCATTTTCACCTTCAGGCCATCTAAAAGGAACCAGCAGATCTTTCCCTGGGGTTCAGTTTCATTATGCCTCCCCCCTCCCCGTGTGTTAACAGCCCCACATCCACTGACATAACCCCTATGAGAACAGGGGGTTTTCATCATTACACCTTAACTCTCTTCGTGTGGTCACATTTTGCTCCTTTCCTAAGACTCTTCTGTTTTCTGTTAATATTGATCGTCCTTCTTTGCATTTCTCAAGTTTTGATGCCATTTTCCTTCCACGAGGCCAGGTAGACGGTGTGCTCTTTCTCTCCACTTAACAAAGCCATCAGGATAAATGTATTATACACATCACAGATCTCTTATCCCCCATTCTTGCAAATAATGTATTCATGACAGTACTTTTTCAGTGTTAACATTCCGATGTCTATTATTAAACTACACTAGAATTTGAATTCTGAAAAGATACTGTTATTTCTACACACCTTCTCATACATATTTAAGATTCTTCTGATGTTATAGTTGACATATTTATTAAATTTTATATTAGTCTCTATTAGTCATATTGATAGAAGTCATTTTAGCTATATGTCACATAACCTTTCTAAACAGAATTATCTCCTAATATACATAAACGTGATGGTTTGCCTAGTAAATAGTTAAAATATAATTAGAGCAATATGGGCAGAGGGTAGCCCCTTTCTGCTCTAGCTGAATTGAATTCAGTGATTTTAGGACCAACAGAATAGAATATGAAATGAATAAATTTGGTGAATAGCAGGATTTTTTAAAAGGTAGAAATAGGAAAAAAGAATAAATTATGTTAAAATGCCCTATTTTGTATGTCTAAAATGGTCTTGGTAGAATCTAATAAATTTTCCAATTTGTCATTAAACTTTATCATGGAAGAATGAACATTCACGAGACAAGATTGTCTTGAGAAATTGCCTCTACTCTAGCTAGTTATCTGTAGTTTGAAAGAACTATTGTGAGCCTAAGTGTTTCGGCTCTACAATACCCTTCTTTACTTGGAGCTAATTTTAGCTAATCAGACTACGAGCATTTTCTAAAATCATTTTGGAATTTTTTTTTTTAAATCACTTTTTAAAACTTTTGAGGAAAGCTACCACAGATAATAATTTCATGATTCAGTTCAATGCAGTAGCTTTTTAAAACCGAGCTACTTTTATTTTTTTTTAAGCACCACTCTATTAAATCCTTTAAAACCATCGTTCTTCCTTTAAGATGCAAACCTGCCCTCCTGTTTAAATTTTTATTGCATTAAATGAAGTGGTAAGCTCTTTTAAAGTCATGTAAAAATTAAACATTTGTTTTAAAAAGCAAACTGTAGCTGCCTGAAGAGTGTGTTATTTAAATTCAGGCCCCCATTTCCTTTCATTAAGCGCTCCTTTATGCTAATGCTGTCAGAATTTTGGATAAAGTATCTTTCTTCAACTCAATGGATTCTTTACTTATAGGAAAATGATTTTCCCGCAAGCATTACCGAGTTCATAATTCTAACCCTGAAAAGTTTTATTGACTGATTTCTCTATTAGCATCTTGATATCTAAACAGGGGGAATGATTTTACAGTGCACATGGGAAATATAGTTTGACAAGGTGTAGGTGCCATTTAAAGTTTCAGTAATCTGAAGTAAAAATACCAGTACCCCAGGAGCCCTTGAACCAGCTCCTGACATTGCTGTTTTGGCATACGGACCCCAGGGGGCTGACAGCAGGGGAGAGAGGGCAGCCAGCTGGGAGGAATGGTGAGTATTCAAGCCTTCTCGAGAACATCTCAAAATCAAATACAAAATCACATTACTCATTTCTTGTCTCGTCAACCCAAATAGTAGCGACCATAGTAATAATAATGGTATTGATTTATGTAACACGTTAATGTTCCTGAAGGTTTTTTTACAAGCCACATCTCGAGGGCTCAAAGTGTGAGTTTATGTGGTCACAACATGACTGCTGATAAAGATATTATCGAGTTGCTCCCCTAAAGCCAGGGCAGGATAGGGAAGGCCAATGTGAGAAAGCCTGTGAACCCAGGAAAGAGTCCCAGCTGAAAGAAAACCTTTGTTTACCCAATGGAAACTCATGGGCGAGGGGCTACTACCCATACTGGCCGACCGTTTGCAAAAACTGAGATATTGGGCGCCTGGGTGGCTCAGTTGGTTAAGCGACTGCCTTCGGCTCAGGTCATGATCCTGAAGTCCCTGGATCGAGTCCCACATCGGGCTCCCTACTCGTCAGGGAGCCTGCTTCTCCCTCTGACCCTCCCCCCTCTCATGTACTCTCTCTCATTCTTGCTCTCTCAAATGAATAAATAAATCTTAAAAAAAAAAAACAAAAAACTGAGATATTGAGAGCCTGGTTCATCCACTGTTTGTGGTTAGATTTCTTATGTGTAACGCAGTGCCCAGCACCCCACGAAACCGTGAGACCTGTTGTAATTCAGTCAGTCAGTCAGTCAAGGAACAGACACATCACACTTAGAATTCATATAGAGTGTGTCAAACTAAATTATATATTCATGACTTCACCTTGTGGTTGGAATCAAAAATGGTAAAAACAAAAAAGTGAATCATAAATAAGGCAAATAATGTAATCCATGTATATGTTGCTCTGCATTTTGTTATTACTATAGGAATAGGTGCTCCAGTTTGAATTGATGGGTAGTGCTCCCATTCACTCATTCCTAATTATTAAAGACCAATCACCAGGGACGCATAAATTAAAAAGATTCTAGACTCAGCCTGAGGCTCCACACCTCACATCTATCAGGAGCATGGGGAAATTGAAGTAGCCCAATGTTTTCAGTGCACCCAGCCAAGGGCTTAGACATACAACACAGGCTGAGTATCAGGACTCCTCTAAACCTGTAACCCCTATAATAATATTAACATTCCTCTGGCTGAGTTTTCATGTGCCTGTTGTTTGAAAAACCTACTGTCTCTCGCTCACTTTCCACTAATATTCCCTTTTAAATCTCTCCTTCTCTCTTTCTGAATCAGGTTTCCTCTGAAACATTCCCAGTCTTTTCTGGACTTTTCTGCAGCTTCTTTATACCTGAACTCTTAAAGAATATGTGTTGCCTAGTTTCTGACAGTACCAAAGATTGTTTTCAGGGGAACAGAACTGTAAGTATGACTAGAGATGCTTACTAGTAATGTCCACATCCAAAAATGCCACAAGAGTTTTGTGGGGAGAGTGCACCCTTAAAGATGTCTCCTTGTTTCTTGAAAGTTTGCTCTCCTCTTGGCCTTGATGCAAACGTACTGGGCTTTCTAATTAAAATGCACAAGTGTTAACCAGCATTTCACCTCAGTCAGTTGGTAACAGTTCATGCTCTGAAGTCCGTAGTCTGAGTAAATCTTCCCTGGTTACCTTTATGATTTAACTACAACTGGTTTCTTTTTTTCTTTCTTATTTAGAAACCTTATGCTTGTCAAATTCCAGGATGTACCAAACGCTACACAGACCCAAGTTCCCTACGAAAGCATGTGAAGGCACATTCTTCCAAAGATCAACAAGCAAGGAAAAAGGTAATTTTAAAAGAGAATTTATCCAGCCAGGAAAAGCACATTTAAGTTACTCTTGCGGTACTGGGACCTTGTGCAGGGCATTGGAATTCTTCTACTTCTCAAGTTGTGACATGCATTAGACGCTTTGAGGAGAGGGGCGTCTCCCACGAAGTAATAGCAGTGCAGTGGTTTGCATAGCTGCTCTAACCAGATACGAATTTTTGGGGAGGGCTTGTATAATAAGAAACAGAGAAAATTAGCGGAAGTCACCTAAACTGGAGAGTGACACAAGGCTTTTATGGAAATTACGTCCACATAGCTAAAGAAAATTGAACTGGGAAAAACAGCACAACAAAAACCCTTTCCGGAGATAAGTGCTTTTTCATAAAATATCAGTTGGCTAAAACCATTTTAGTTCTGATGGAGAAGGTAGGTATATCTCTAGGATAAGTATAGAGCATCCCTCCCTTTAAGCTTAGAAAAAAAAGAAACACGTTTCTTAATAGGTACTGTGTATGGAAATTTGAGAAAGGAATTGAACCTAAGATTACTTTGACATCACTGAGGAATTAATGCATCTTTCAAAATACATAGAAAGCATAGTGTCGGGCGCCTGGGTGGCTCAGTTGGTTAAGCGACTGCCTTCGGCTCAGGTCATGATCCTGGAGTCCCGGGTTCGAGTCCCGCATTGGGCTCCCTGCTCAGCAGGGAGTCTGCTTCTCCCTCTGACCCTCCCCACTCTCATGTGCTCTCTCTCATTCTCCCTCAAATAAATAAATAAAATCTTTAAAAAAAAAAAGAAAGAAAGAAAGCATAGTGTCTTGGATTTGGAAGAAATGTTAAAAGATCAACCAGCCAACCCACCTGACTCTCTCTCTCTTGACCTCGTAAAATCTCCAGCAGGTAGTTGGCCACGTTGTGCCTCCCCACCTTGAGAGCTGAGGAGCTTATTACCTTTCAAGGCATTTCCCAATAACTGAGTTTGTAAGTTTTTGGACCAACAAGTACCTTCTGACCATGGAAGAAAAACACAAACACACTGAGCTAACCTTAGCTTTTTGAATGTTTCCTTTGTGTCGAGATGGTACCGATTCATGTAAGGGCCCTTCGTAACAAAAGTAAGGAAAATTTAAGATTCAACTATGTCAAGTGATTTAAGCCCATGATGTGATTGAACCCCATGGCCATGGTTTTCAGGTCACCAGCACTTCTACTGAACTAGAATCGTGCATTCTTTCGTGGTTTATGGGGATTTAACACTTTTATGTTGGGAAATGCTGTGTAGTCTTTTTTTTTTTTTTACTTGAGCTTTTTCTTCCTTGAGAGGTGTTAGCATAATGCCAGTTGAGGGCTCATATACGGAAAGAATTTGACCTCTTCCCTGTGAATGAGAAAAATGCCCAGTCGGAAGGATTTGATGGATAATCTTAATTGCATACAAACCCACTCTTGTAAGTCAACTGTTAAAATCATTTTTTCCTCTATAAATACAATTAAGTCTCTTTTATTGGAATACAGTAAACTGATACCAGATGATCATTATCAACAGATGATCAGTCAACATGGACTAAATATATTCCTATATTGAAGAAGAGCAAAGGAACTGCTAAGTGAATTAATAATATAAATAAAATTTTAAGAAGGATACTTAATCTTTTTAAAATAATACCAGGGCTGCATCCTGTTCACTATGTCGGCAGGACCACCACCTAATGGCTTTTGTCAGTATCTCTGTGTGTGTATCTTATGAACTTGATGTGGTAAGTTATCTTTGCTTAAAAAACAAAAATAAAACAAAACAGAATCAAAACTCTTGAGGGTTTTTTCTCCTAAATCTGACCATTCATCCCCTAAGTTGTCTGAGATGTATGAAGTTTTACCATAATAGCAAATCCATTATCAGATTGGAGAACACCTTCACTGAGAAAAACACCTGCCTTGGACAGGGGAGAATGCAGGTCCCACATGCCGGCAAATAAGCAACAGTACGATATTCCACATAAGAAGGTAACCTGGGGGGCGCCTGGGTGGCTCAGTCGGTTAAGCACCTGCCTTCGGCTCAAGTCATGATCCCGGAGTCTCCGGATCGAGTCCCGCATCGGGCTCCCCGCTCGGCGGGGAGTCTGCTTCTCCCTCTGACCCTCCCCCCTCTCGTGCTCTCTCTCTCAAATAAATAAAATAAAATCTTTTAAAGACAATTTGTAGACAGCCTTCAACAATCAGGCTAGGCAGCAAGGATATACTTTCCAGGAGCAATATTATAACCTAATATCGAATATTGCAGTATTCTCTTAATTTTGTCTTCCAGAAAGTGAGGTGCTGTGTCTGCAGTGATTTTGCTTTTGATGTGCACCCTGTTTCTTACAAATGGGTGAGCTGGATGTGGCTGCCTTTTATTGCCCATACCTTAGGGACAAGTTTACCAGGTTTGCTCTCCAAATTTTAACCAGTCTTTTAAATCTGAAGATTTTAAAAATCTGTTATGAATCAGTGATAAATTAATCTGCGAAAATTAAAACAATGAAAGTTGCTCCATCCAATAAAAAGAAGAAATGCCACTCCCCAGAGAAGCTGTGCGCATAAACCTAAAATCAGTCAATCCCCATTTTCAGACCTTGTGCTGGCGTGTAATATTTACATGGTACAATGTTGTTACTAGACCTTGGAGAGATTCTAATTGCTAACTCACATCAGTGCTTGGTATTTGAAATATTTCCTGGCAGCAATAATAAAAAAAAGAAGAAGAAGAAGAAAAAGAAGAAGAAGTAAGAAACAATAAACCTTTTAAGGCAGAATTAAGATTATTTACGACTTTAATTAAAAATTGAAAACTGGCATCATTTCAAAAAAGCCTTTACAAAAATGTGAATTCATCAAAAATAACCATAAAAATTCCAAGGTGATAAAGGCACAGTGGAGTAATGGTCCCAGCCCTAGGGAATTGTTTTGTTGAAAAGAATAAAACCCTTTTCTGTCACACCCTGTTAGTCATGGACTCGTTTAATATACCCTGCCTGCCTGCTTTCCTCTAATCCTCTTTTTAACCTCCCCCTAGACACTAAATGACATTATTTTGGTCTTAACGTTGCCAGCTTTATGAGGCCCCACTCTGAAATCTGGGCCAGTGACAAGGCACCCTCAGCCGTAAGACAGATGTTTATCAGGAGAGGCAGAGTCCTTATGAATGATGCCCTGGCCATGGGCAGATGGCCCTTCCCCACACCTGTTGGATCCTACTGAAAAACCAAAGACATGAAAGCTTAGCTAAATATTATTCAAGCTATGGAAAGAAAGAAAGAAGAAGAAGGGGGGAAAAGCTCTTTTGCAAAGGAATTGGGGTAATTTGGCTCACTGCATGCAGAAAGTAACTTTTCTCTTTGCCTAATGTGTGCACACCCACACATTCAATCAGCTGGTGTACGGTCTTCTTCCACTGAATGTGCCTTACAGATCTCGAGTCCATTAAAGAGAGGGCTACACGGATAAGTGAGTCACGAGATACTCAAGTCACCAGCTATGGTCTTGGGCGAGAAGAGAACTTAGCCTGCAGAGCAAAAGGCAGACTCTGTCCTTCAGGTCTGCCTGATAATGAGTGGCGAAATAAGAGAAAACTAAGGCAATAAGCCACTTGAAATTTCCCTCAAGGCTGTGAGCTTTATCAGAATTTTTCATTTGCATCGTGGAAATGCCCATAAGTGGTGATGGTGGTGGTGGGGGGTGGGGTTCCCTTCAACTCTGGTTTGTTATCGAAAGGGACTTTTGAAAGCGAATGCAAAAGAATGCTGGGCCAAAAGTTAGAGACAGCATGCATCTTTCGTCCATTTCACAGCTCCCCAAAGGTGCCAGACTCTGGCTGTGATTTGTGAACTGTTTACAATCACCTCTGACCCTCCCTGGTTGATGGGTCGCAGCCTCAACCAGGCTGTGATAAACCCAGCACAGCATTCGGAACCTGCATGAATGCAACATGCACTTCTCTTTCCTGCTTAAGGGGCAGCTCTGGGTCGCTATCTGGCTAAGACAGAGCAACTTAGGCAACGCACCTCTTCTGGTAGAACTAGGGGTTCGTGGACTCTGTTCAGAGCCACCACCACCCCATCTTGCCTCAAAGCTGTAAACAATTTCATTAAGTACCGCAGAGCTCACCTTGCTTTGTGCCCTTGTTAGAATCTTCCAAAGAAGGTTCTAGTTCCCCTACATGGACGCACCGATTAGAGGAGCTGCTGAGGCTCTCACTTTCCTCCCGGTTGTTTTCTGGTGTCATCTGCACGAGAGGCCTGCACAGGGGGCCACACAATCAGAGGTCTTCCCAGACGGTGACTTTCCTTTTTCTCGTTCCTTCTTCCTCCCTCCCTTCCTCCCTCTCTCTCTCCCCCCCTTCTCTCGCTCGGACTCTTAATGGAACGTCAGTCACAGGCACAGATCATGGACGCATGATTTCAGGATGAACTAGCCGCCCCCTTCCTCTCACATGCCATAAATCACATTGGAAATCCTGTTGGAGGAGTGATGCTTCTGTGATGTTGAAATGGCACTAACATGGTTTTTTTTTTTTTTGTAAGTGAGTCATTCACCAACTTCTATCCTTTAATGACCGTTGGTGGCAGATTGCTTCTCTCTGTCTCCTCAAAACGACGGTGGGCCATACTGTCCTGCTCGAATGTCCTGATGCCTCAGTTGAGGGTAACTGATTTTGAGAAAGGCGCTGGATGTGCTTTTATAAGGCAAATGATTGTGGCCCAAAGGAGTGATGTTAATTAATTCAGCTTAAGCGATAAAGAGAAATCATCTTAAATTTAATAAATTTAACGTTCGACTCATAGCACTGATTTGAAGTTGAGACCAGCCACGTGGAGGCTTCCAGTTTAGGGAAGTGACTGCGGCTCTGCTTTGGAGAACAATGGTGCTGTAGCTGTTAGGAAGGGCTTGAGAATCCCTACGGGGTGTGGGAAGTGGAGGGGTGGGGTCACTTGCCTATAAAGTAAGCAGTTGGTGAGGAAAAGCTTCTCTTCCTTTCTGGA